ATAACACACATGAAGTTAGTCAATATTACCTGTAAGAAGAGGATGTTATCCTTCGCAATGGCTTCCATCAGGTTTTTATCTGGAGAATGTAAATCTCCATTCACGTGGCCAGACTCTACAGATGCCTCAGACCTCCCATTTAGGGACTGGGTTGACCTCTGCCTATAAAACAGCAGATATGCCGTATCCTTGGGTAGGAAAGAGGTGACATGGCTGACCGACTCAAAAGATGAGAAGGAAACCCTGGTGTCATTGAAAAGGTACCACTGGATCGCGAGGTCTGGAGGTTTCTCAGAGGCATCGTTCCAAGAAGCTTCCTTGGAATCACTTTTGGTGTTGGCGTCCTCACACTCCCTGGCATAACAATAGTAATGTCCGCTCTCCGAAGAGACACCAGAGTGCACCACAACGCTGCAGAGATCATACACCACTGAAGCGAAGCGAGTGTATGATGAAGTGTGGCCGCTGCCATGAGTATCACTCCGTTCTTCAGATGCCACCAGGACTGGTAGCTTCAACACCAAGGGGACTGAGATGTTGTCAAGGATCTTCCTCCTCCTCATGGCCCTCAAGTCAAAGGAGAACCTCAACAAGGTGAGGATGAGGTAGTGTGGACCCTCCGTCAGCTCCGCCAGCTTCTCTGCATCTTGAAGGGAGGCACAGTTTTCACAGTGGTACTGGTTCTCCGCCGTCAGCATCTCTGGTGATAAGAAATAATTGATCAAATCAGGGACGGATCTGGAAGCTTCTTCAAGGCCCTTCAAGATCAAAGTTGAGTCTTGCTCAGGCTTTGCCCCAGTGGCATCTCGTTCAGGTCTCAAAGGGAAAGAGGTCTCTTGACCTTCTGGTCTTAATGTTTCGACCGGCAACACTTTAGAGGGGGGAACTCCGGGCACAGGAAACGTTCCTGATTTCCTTGGCAAATCATTCAGCCTAGGCTGGGCTTCTAGGCTAGATTGCATGGTCTGTGGTCCCATTTCTTCAATGGGTAAAAATGAGGTAGCGCCAGGGGGTATAGGCACAGGCTGATCTGCTGGTGGAAAAGCCAGGGAGAGGTCCGTGAAGGCCTCTTCTCTGGAAGAGACCTTTAGGCACTTCAGACAACGGATTTTCGTCTTAATTTTGCCTCCAAACATCTTTTCAACTAGAGTCTTGTTCACAGAATGAGGAGGCATCAAGGTGGAGCCTTTGAGCTTCTGATAAATTCTTCTCCCTGTTCTCTCTTCTTCGTGCAGCCTTTTTGGGGAAGTGGGGAGAAAGAAAGAAGACATTTGGGAAAACGTATGACAGAAACTCATCGTCCAACACTAGGATGTGATAATATTTATGATGCCAGCTGTCTATTCTCACATGAAACACTTATATGTACATATTTTCTAGGGTTAGGAGCACAGGAGTCCTGTAAAAGTTAAAAACCAAATTAAAAATGCTATTATTCCCTGAGAGAACACCTTTCTGGCACTATCTGTCTTCAGCATTGTTGTGCAAGTGGGCTTATTAACGAAAGATCCTCATAAATGTATAGCAAGGTAACTTATTCCCAACACCAGTAGCCCAAAGTGATAAAAAAACAAAAACACACAGACCAACGTTATCTCTTCCATAGGAGGCTCTTCTTTATAGTAAAATAATATAATTGCACTATTTACAGGAACAAGGTTTCCATAACACAAATAAACTTCTTTATACTTGCTTCTTTGCTTCCACGCTGGGCTTCTTTCTCATGCAGATAAATAGATTCACTCTCACAGAGCCTCTTCTCACACTGAACTTACACAGGAGCTTCACACAGTAGCTTTACACACAGCAACCTTCACACTGGAGCTTCACACACAATGGCCTTCAACCTGGAGCTTCCCTCACTGAAGCTTCTCACACCAGGCCTGAGATCTACTAACACTGAGGCTTACCTCACACTGAGACCTTTCTCTCACTGAGGCCTTCTCACACTGAGGGCTCTCTCAGACTGAAACCTTTCTCCCACTGAGGTCTACTAACACTGAGGCCTTTCTCACACTGAAGCCTTCTCACACAGAGGGCTCTCTCAGATTGAAACCTTTCACCCACAGTGACCTTTCACAGACTGAGGGCTACTAAGCTACAGGCACACCTGCTTATATTGAACTGCGGCTTCTGCTGAGTCTTTGTATACATTAAACCCTTTCAGAGATTGATGCACATTTTTGTAATTAAAAATACTTAATTACTTTTAAATATTTCTGACAAACATAGAGCCAACTTCCGCTAAAAGTTGGCCATAGAATCACACTCTCAGGAGATGTTCTTTCTAGAAATCTCAATGCTCCACTTCATGTATCTATAATCAAGGTTTGATAGACGTTGATCATAAAATTGTACTGGAGGACCAAGAAGTTCCTAGAGAGAATATTTTAATAAAATCTACAAAGAATCAAATCCACTAATCTTTGCAAACGTGGAAGGGCATCACTTCGCAACATCAAAATGCATCATTTCGCAACTCAAAATGAACCTACCTATGCTATACATAGGTAAAGGTCAACATACCAGAATATATTAATGATATAACAAAGAGGTATCTATTTGCTATTACGTCATAATAAAATAGTAAGATAATAAACTTGTGGGATAAATGATGAACAAGGAAACAAAATAACTTCATTGTAAATGAATTAATTCTAAATATCTATTATATAATATGGACCAATTGGACCATTACCTGAATCTCACCAACCTCCATCAATATATATACGTATAATTCTCTCTAGGCATTTTCTTGGTCCTCAAGCCCAATTCTATGGTATGGTTCTGCTGGAAGTTGACCATAGATTTGAGAAAAAGGATGTAGAAATACTAGAGAGGTATTGTTTCTAGGCATTCAGTAGTATGCTTAAGTCAGAAGCTGCTCATTTCAATAGGGTTCAGTATTATCTCAGGTTTCAGGAACATACCCCCCTGAATATAGGAGGGATATATTACCTTTACGTGATTTAAAAATAAATCTACCTATCTATCTATAGCCATATCTATATCTATCTATATATACACACGCACAGTAATACACAAACATAAAGCTTTGTTGGTGTTGCTGAAACAGTAAATGGGCTGCTTCACTGGACAGAAAGTTCTCCAGGACAGAGATCAACTTACCTGTCAAGCAGGTATTTCAAGTATTCGGAGCAGTCCTGCTGAGCTCCCCTTGTGAACCAAGGAGGCCAAGAAGCCAATAAAAAGCTTTCAGGTGAGATGGTAGGTCTCTGGAAGAGAATGGGGGAGAATACTTTATATGTACAACATAAACAACTGATAATCTTGCACTTTTCTCTTTTGAAGGGCAGGCAAACCGTGAGTGCATCTATAATGTTGCATGAATGCAGGCATTTTCTGAATGAAGCACAGAGTGTTTGAGGACCGGAACATCCGTAGGGATACCAAGGTCCTGTTCATAAAGCTACTAGCTTGGGGACCCAGCGGTGGCTCGGTTATTAGAGAAAGTGGGTAATGGGGGTTCTGTATACCAAGTTTGGTCTTGATCAGTCATTGGATGAGGGTCGCAGTAGTTTCAGTAACTGAATTACAGTACTGAAAGTCCCACCATCCATGGTCCATCCTCCTTAAAACTGCAGCAGGATGTAGAGTGGGTCATGGGGGCTCTGTGTGTCAAGTTTGGTCTTGATTGGTCATTGGATGAGGGTCGCAGTGGTTTCAGTGAGTGAAGGTACTGCAAGTCCCATCATCCATGGTCCACCCTCCTCCAAACTGCAGCAGGATGTAGAGTGGGTCATGGGGGCTCTGTGTGCTAAGTTTGGTCTTGATTGGTCATTGGATGAGGGTCGCAGTGGTTTCAGTAAGTGAGTGAAGGTACTGCAAGTCCCATCATCCATGGTCCACCCTCCTCCAAATTGTAGCAGGATGTAGAGTGGGTCATGGGGGCTCTTGATCAGTCATTGGATGAGGGTCGCAGTGGTTTCAGTAAGTGAGTGAAGGTACTGCAAATCCTATCATCCATGGTCCATCCCCCTTAGAACTGCATCAGGATGTAGAGTGGGTCATGAGTACTCTCTGTGCCAAGTTTGGGCCTGGTCTGTGATTTGTATGGGCTACAATGTTCTGTGGGAAGTTAACTGGGTGAAGGTACTGCAAATCCCATCATTTGTAGCCCATCCTGCCCAGGTTGTAAAGTGGACCATTGGGCCTCTGTGTGCCAAGTTTGGTCATGATCTGTCATTTGTCCACCTGTCTTCCAAGAGATTTGCAGGATTTTTCAGAGGCAGCGTCGATGGAATCGTTCCAGGAGTTGTGTATGACGTCTATAGACAGTCCACATTTCACAGGCGTGTAGCAGTGCTACACTTAGTGCTGTCTAGATAAAAATGATCTCACTAGAAATTTGCTAGATCATCCTGGCTATCCCCCAGAAGTTTTCATAATGTTGCATTGGAAAATCTAGATTTGTAGATGTCGCTTAAGAATATCTAGGTGCAACTGTAGGATGTAATGACAGTGGGACCAGAAAACAGGTGATTTAATGGTGTCTGATCATATCCACAGTTTCAGGTAACCACGATCCATTTGGGAATGTATTCCCTGCAGATAAAGAGGTATTACTGTACATAAACGCTACCCACTCAACATTTAAGGGAACAGAAAGACCAGGAACATTCAGCAAGGGTTACAAAAAGGCTAGGATGACTAATACATTCCTCAATAATTACCTGACTGTGCTCTAGAAAGGCAAACAGCCACTGAAGCTTCGCCATCAAGGGCTGGGAATTGTTCTCTGCTAAATTCAGCACAGAGCGCCTGAAGCTTCAAAGACACAAATAAAACATTTTTACAAAACATGGTAAGCCTACTGAATCTGTACGTAAACAAAGTTTAAAGTAGTCCCTACCAATCAAAAATCATAAATAAGACTATGTACAATGAGAGATGAAAAGCATTTTGAGTACAGGTATCTCTCAGGTCCCTTCTACACTGCCATATAATCCAGATTATCGAAGCAGTTAATCCACATTATCTGCTTTGAACTGGATTATACGAGTCTACACTGGCATATAATCCAGTTCAAAGCATATAATCTGGATTTTGTATGGCAGTGTAGAAGGGGCGTCAGTTAACAAAACAAACATGTATTCCTATTCTTTTTTAATGGAAAAATTGGTACCAGATCAAAAAATAACATGGAGCTATATCATAAACAAGACCATTTTGGCAAACTTTTGATTCAAAACTGACAGTATGCACATGTAAACTGAACCTACATAACCAACTGCTACTCTGGGAACAGAGCAAAGAGAGGTGTCCAGGAAGATATTGTATTTATTTTATTTATTGTATTGTATATTACTTGTAAGCCGCTCTGAGTCCCCTTTGGGGTGAGAAGGGTGGCATATAAATGTCATAAATCAATCAATCAATCAATCAATAAAATAAAAATATTTTCCTTCCATAAAAAGGTAAAGGTTTCCCCTTGACATTAAGTCTAGTCACGTCTGACTCTGGGTGGTGGTGCTCATCTCCAATTCTAAGCCGAAAAGCCGGCGTTGTCCATTGACACCTCCTCGGTCATGTGGCCAGCATGACTACATGGAGCACCGTTACCTTCCCACAGAAGCAGTACCTATTGATCTGCTCGCATTTGCATGTTTTCAAACTGATGGAGTGGCAGAAGCTGGGGCTAACAGTGAGAGCTCACCCCACTCCCCAGATTCGAACCATCAACTTTTCAGTCAGCAAGTTCAGCAGCTCAGCGGTTTAACCCACTGCACCACCACGGTACCCATAGATCATCTCCTTCCATAAATCATTTGAAAGCTTCTTCCAAAATGCATTTTAGTCTTTTAGCCATTTTGAGTCTTTTTCAGGAAAAAAAAGTGATTTATAAAAAAGTATAATAATATAATATATATTAATATAGATGAACATCGCAACACCCATTTTGAAACTACAGCTGATTTTGGGGTACACTGAGACTGAACCATGCAGTGGGGGTGCATTCTGACAACAACAATATGGTTTTATTGGCAAGAGAAAGTTTGCCAGCTCTAGAGATTATACGTTACAGCTTTGTTCCATCATTCTTTAAATACAGAAACTAAACGTACGGATACCTACTCCGAGGCCATGAAGAGGGCTTGGATGATGCTGTTCATGTAGCAGGTATTCCCCAGGTTAATTAACCCGATCTTCCCCGTTTCCGATTTGGAGGCCAGACGGGGGTAAAAACCAGCTAATTCATTCTTCTGTGAAGTCCAAGCATTTTGGCCAAGCAAGTGTTTAATTCGGTCTTCGTTTGGAATTGGAAGAGCCTTTGGAGAACAAAGTATTTCAAAAGAGCAGACTCAGTTTGTGGACTCATAGCTACCCTTTTTTATTTTTATCAGTTGTCAGGGACTTAAATTCACCATGCAAAGGGCACACATGCAGAAATTTGGGGTCCTTTTTGCCAAAAATATAATTTACAAACCCGGGAAAGCTACTTGTTGGACTACTGTTCCCTAAATCTTCCAGCCAGGAAATTCTGGAAACTATGATTTCCCTTATACAGCTCCGGCCCAGCGTACCTGTCCGAACGTATCTCCTTCTATGTCCCACCTCAGAGTTTAAGATCTACTGGGGAGGCCCTGCTCTCGGCCCCACCTTTATCACAAGTGAGACTGGTGGGGACGAGGGACAGGGCCTTCTCAGTGGTGGCCCCTCGCCTGTGGAATTCACTCCCTGGGGAAATTAGGTCATTGACATCCCTCCTTTCCTTCAGAAGGGAGTTGAAAACATGGATATGGGACCAGGCCTTTGGGCAATCTGGCAGACTGACAAGGTAATGACGACCAGAGATTGGAAAGGACTATGATAATGCTGAATGGACTTATGGATTTTTAGAAGTTGGTGAACGTTAGCCACTAGATTGGCTTCTTTTAGTTGTTATTGTAATAATTGATTGTTTTTAACTATTTGTGATTACTGTTGCTACGTATTTTATTTGTTGAATTGTTGGCATCGAATTGTGCTGGTTGTAAGCCGCCCTGAGTTCCGCCTAGGGGGTTGAGAAGGGCGGGGTAGAAGTACTCAAAATAAATAAATAAATAAATAATACTCTGCTAACACTTTATGCTGAGTTTTGCAGAATTTGGTACCCATTGATCATAATATTTATTCTATGCCACCTTCCTAATACCATGACCCCTTAATCCAGTTCCTCATGTTGTGGTGACCCCCAACCATAACATTATTTTCATTGCTACTTCACAACTGTAGTTTTGCTACTGTTATGAATCAGAATGTAAATATCTGATATGCAGAATGTATTTTCATTCACTGACCAAATTTGGCACAAATACCTGATACGCCCAAATTTGAATACTGGTGGGGTTGCGGGAGATTGATTTTGTCATTTGGGAGTTGTAGTTGCTGGGATTTATAGTTCACCTACAATCAAAGAACATTCTGAACTCCACCAATGATGGAACTGAACCAAACTTAGCACACAGAACTCCCATGACCAAAAGAAAATATTGGAAGGGTTTGGTGAGCATTGACCTTGAGTTTTGGAGTTGTAGTTACCTACATCCAGAGAACACTGCGGACTCAAACAATGATGGATCTGGACCAAACTTGGCACAGACACTCAATATGCCCAAATGTGAACACTGGTGGAGTGTGGGGAAAATAGACCTTGACATTTGGGAGTTGCACCCTCAGTTAAAAATAAGAAACATCCTCCACATTTTTGTATAGCCTCCTCAATTATTCCTCCCCATCTGTTTGCTGCATGCAAATGAAAAAGGAAATAGTTACTTTGATGGCCTCCACAACTGGTTCGTAGAGGTCTGGGAATCCTGAGAAACGGAAGAACATGCAGTGGATGAGCTCAGCCAACTGTTCCAAGCAACTTGTGGCCGAATTGGAGTTTTCCTTGTTGAGGGCAGCCACCACTCTGGGAATATGCGGAAGAAGCTTGAAAACAAACAAAATCAGTCTCAAAACAAGTAACTGGAACCAAGTCTCAAAGCAACTTGTAACACAGTTCCTAAATGGATATAGTTTTAGTTTGGTTGTCCTCCTGCTGTCAATTATTATCTGAGCTTTAATGGGAAGAGTTCCACCAAAGGATGAACTTGAACTGTTGACATAAGAAGGTAAATATAATTGGCATCACTGAAACTTGGTGGCATGAGTCTTGTGGTTGAAATGTAGTAATAGGGGAGTAAAACCTATTTTGGAAAATAGGTTATAGCAGGAAAGGGAGAGGAGTAGCATCGTATGTCAAGGATGTTTACACCTGCAAGGAGGTTTAGTTTTGAATATGTTTATATGGATGTTAACTGAATGTTTTAATACCAATCATTTAATTATGGATGAGAGTGAAACTAAATCCAGACAAGACAGAGGTTCTCCTGGTCAGTCGGAAGGCCAAACGGGGCATAGGGTTACAGCTTGTGCTTGGATGGGGTACCACTCCCCCTGAAGACGCAGGTTCACAGTTTGGGAGTGATCCTGGACTCATTGCTGAGCCTGGAACCCCAGGTCTCGGCGGTGGCCGGGAGAGCTTTTGCACAATTAAAACTTGTGTGCCAACTGTGCCCGTATCTTGGGAGGTCAGACTTGGCCACAGTAGTCCACGCTCTGGTTACATCCCGAATAGATTACTGCAATGCACTCTATGTAGGGTTGCTTTTGAAGACTGTTCAGAAGCTTCAGTTAGACCAGCGCTTGGCAGTCAGGTTGCTCATGGGAACAGGTTACCGAGAGCACCCAATGCCCTTGCTACGCCAGCTCCACTGGCTGCATATTAGCTTCCAAGCACAATTCAAAGTGCTGGCTTTAGCCTATAAAGCCCTGAATGGTTCTGGCCCAGTTTACCTGTCTGAAGGTATCTCCCACTATGAACCACCTAGGAGCTTAAGATCGTCGGGTGAGGCCCTGCTCTTGGTCCCCCCATCATCACAACTGCGTCTGGTGGGGACAAGAGACAGGGCCTTCTCCGTGGTCGCCCCTTGGCTATGGAATTCCCTCACAATTGAGATCTGCTCCATCACTCCTGTCCTTCCGGAGACAAGTGAAATCCTGGCTGTGGGATCAGGCCTTTGTGGACTAGACTAATTTGCTGGCAAAGTTACGGTTTTGATGGACTGCTTTCAGGATGATGACTTAATTCAGCAATATGTTTTTAATGTTTTATATTGTTTTTATAATATGTATATTTATGCTTTTTCTTGTTGTGGGGCTATGCCCGTTGTTAGCCACCCTGACTCCCTCTGCGGAGGTCGAGATAGGACGGGATATAAATGCCCTAAAGAAATAAATAATAATAAATTTTGATGTGTGTATATTTGTAGGTTTTTAAAACTGTATAGAAATGCTTTTAATGCAAGCTGCTTCAAGTCTCCTGGCAGAAAGAAAAAGTGGGGTATAAATAAACACAATAATAGTAATAATAACAATAACAATAACAATAATAATAACAACAACAACAACAACAACAACAGATCCCAAATGTAGACTCTGCAAGGAAGCAGATGAATCAATAGATCCCATCCTCAGCTGCTGGAAGAAGATCGCGCAGACAGACTAGAAGCAGAGGCACAACACTGTTGCTCAGATGATTCATTGGAACTTGTACCACAAATATCATCTGCCTGCAACAAAGAACTGCTGGGATCACAAACTGGAAAAAGTTACAGAAAATGAACACGCTAAACATGACATTTGGAACGGACTATGGATTATGAGATTGGCTATGATTCCTTGTTGTGATGGCGCGGATTTATTAGTGTGATTAGATTAATGTGTAATTTGATTGTTGATATATTGTATGTTTTGTAGACTGTTTTTACATGTTGTACACCGCCGCGAGTCGCCCCAGGGCTGAGAGCGGCGGTCAACAAATGAAGTAAATAAATGAAGTAAATAAATAAATAAATAAATAAACTCCTCTGGGACTTCCAGATTCAGACAGACAGAGTTCTGGAACACAAAACTCCTGACCTCACAATCGTGTTAAAAAACAAAGTATGGATCGCCGATGTCGCAATCCCAGGTGACAGCAGGATTGCAGAGAAACAACTAGAAAAGCTGTCACGATATGAGGATTTAAAGATCGAACTGCAAACACTCTGGCACAAGCCAGTAAAGGTGATCCCAGTGGTGATCGGCACACTGGGTGCAGTGTCTAAAGACAATCGGCGCTGACAAAATTACTACCTGCCAGCTGCAGAAGGCCACCTTACTGGGATCTGCACACATTATTTGCCGATACATCACACAGTCCTAGACACTTGGGAAGTGTCCAACGTGTGATCCAATTCAACAGCCAGCAGACTGTCTACTGTGGATTCATCTTGTGGTGTTTCAAATAATAATAATAATAATAATAATAATAATAATAATAATAAACAATGCCATTTATTGTCGAAGGCTTTCATGGCTGGAATCACTTGATTGTTGTAAGTTTTTTCAGGCTGTATAGCCATGTTCCAGAAGCATTCTCTCCTGATGTTTCACCACACAACCTCTGAGGATGTCTGCCATAGATGGAAGCGAAATGTTAGGAGAAAATGCTTCTGGAAAATGGCCATACAGCCTGAAAAACTTACAACATTTATGTCTGATCTTAACTGACAGGAATGATGTGGTAAATTGAGTGGATGTTGTAAATTCCTTAGATGGGAGTGACTATACTTTCTAAATGGCCATCTGTCAGGAGGGTTTGGGTTGTGTCTTGGTTGGACAAGACGACCCTTGGGAGCTCTTCCAGAATTATATGATGGAAGCAAATACTTGGAAGGGATTAGAATTTCATTGGCTGAGCTATACATTGGGGGTCAGCTATATGCTGGGGGTCAGGACTAAGAGACACAATATGTTCTTTAAAAACACAGTGCAACCCCTAAATCCACAGCTTTCATTTCCCTCGCCTGATAAAATATGTCCTTTTCTAGGCATTTTCTAGGTCCTTCTGCACAACTCTAGGGTGCTCTAGGTCCAAAAGTCCTTCAATTTCAATAGGATTCGCTGTTATTCAGAGTTTTTGTGTATCCACACCAAGTTCAGAAATGTACCACTAAATTCAACAATGTAGGCGCACACTCAGACTCCAGGATGCCATACTGCTATTGAGAGATAATTAAATATTTGACTACTGCATTGGTTCCTGCTTGCTTACCAAGTGAAATGCTTCGTGAGAATGCTGAAAGCTGAGCAGCATATAGCACAGAATGGAGAGCGCTCCCTCCCTCAGGATGGGATACAGCAACTTGGAAAACACCTACAATATGAAAAAGAAGTAGGAGGAAAAAGAGATTTGAATGTAATATTAATGTAATGCAAACTTGGCAATAAGTCAATACTGTGCATGCTATTGCCTTCCTGTTCAGAAAGTATGACTTTGTGTCAATGTGACCCAGTGAGTTTCCATAACTGAACCCTAGATTGTATCCACACCACAGAATTATAACACTTTGACACCACATTGACTGCTGTCGCTTAATTCTATGGAATCCTGGGAGTTGTAGTTTTGAAGCTTTCTTTACCAAAGATTGTGGATGAATTCTGTTGTAGCATGTAAGGAATCAGTGAGTGTGTGTATGTCAACTGTAGATGCATGAGTTGATTGGTCATGCTATGCCTGGGGAACAGGCTGAGCCTGGGACTTTTGAGTACTGTTACATTTTTTTTCAGGCTTCAGCTATGCGGGTGCAGAGGGTGTGCATTTCAACTGTAAAATATGATGCATGAAGCTGATTGGTCGGGTATACCCAGGGAGTAGGCTGAGCTTGGGACTTTTGGGTACTGTTACATTTTTGTTCAGGCTTCAGCTATGCATGTGCTTGGTGCAGCAGAGAGAGAGAAGCAGAAAGAAACAGAGTTTGGTGTGTGAACTGCTGAAGGAGCTTATCTACATCGACAAAGAAAGTCCATTTTAAATCTCTCATTAAAAGACATTTTGTGAGTTGATACAACTGATCACATTGTACATATGTTGTTCTGAACTATGAAGAGTAAACTACTTGTTATTCATTGCTCATCTGCATGGCGTATTTTCTTTCTCTGGCAAGGCAGTGTGTTTGCTGATCAAACGTGAACTACAAGTGGTTTATTTTTTACATTATGCAACATCTTCCACAGGAAAGAGCCATTGCAATTAAAGCAGCATGAAACTGCATTAATTCTACAATGTAGAAGCACCCTAATTCTCCCACGAACCAGAAAATGAAGTCAAAGGGAATTGTTGTTGTTCATTCATTCAGTAATTTCCGACTCTTCGTGACCAGCCCACACCAGAGCTCCCTGTCGGTCATCACCACCCCCAGCTCCTTCAAGGTCAATCCAGTCACTTCAAGGATACCATCCATCCATCTTGCTTTTGGTCGGCCCCTCTTCCTTTTTCCTTCCTTTTTCCCCAGCATCATTGTCTTCTCTAAGCTTTCCTGTCTTCTCATGATGTGGCCAAAGTACTTCATCTTGGCCTCTAATCTCCTTCCCTCCAGTAAGCAGTCAGGCTTTATTTCCTGAAGTATGGACTGGTTGGATCTTCTCGCGGTCCAAGGCACTCTCAGAACTTTCCTCCAACACCACAGTTCAAAAGTGTCTATCTTCCTTTGCTCAGCCTTCCTTGTGGTCCAGCTCTCACATCTGTAGGTGACTATGGGGAATACCATCGCTTTGACTATGCGGATCTTGGTTGCCAGGGTGGTGTATCTACTCTTCACTATTTTATCGAGATTGGACATTGCTCTCCTCCCAAGAAGTAAGCATCTCCTGATTTCCTGGCTGCAGTCTGTGTCTGCAGTCATCTTTGCACCTAGAAATACAAAGTCTGTCACGGCCTCCACATTTTCTCCCTCTATTTCCCAGTTGTCAATCATTCTTGTTGCCATGATCTTGGTTTTTTTTATGTTTAACTGCAACCCAGCTTTTGCGCTTTCTTCTTTCACCTTGATTAGAAGGCTCCTCAGCTCCTCCTCGCTTTCGGCCATCAAAGTGGTGTCATCTGCATATCAAAGGGAATAAATGGCATGTATAGGAACAGCAATTCCCTTTATCAAAACTGTTCTACTGAGAATATCTGAGAAAGGATTTGAATCCTAGTTCTGATTCACTTGGGATAGAGAAAGTGGTATTAAGCACAGTAATCCTGCCTACAATACCGACCCTCTCAATTTTGGAAAGCGTGACTTCAATCAAGATGCTGAACTTCTTCACTGCGGCCAAGCCCTTGAGCAAAGCGATGATCCATTTGTCTATGTTCTTCCCCAGAGGCCAGGAGACCCATTCAATCATCCTGCAAAGAGAGAGGATGCATTGAAAAAAGGACCACACAATGCAACTTGGAAAGATAAGATGTACTTAAATTGCAGCTTCCAAGTCCATTAATAGTTATCAGTGGCAGTCTGTAGTTTCTATGAGTGGGACATTAAATCCACTGAGTTAAAGTGTTCCCAAACTGTATTAATTCTACAGTGCAGATGCACCCTCAATATCTCTCTTCCTTTCTCAGTCTTCAATGTGGCATAGCTTATTTGCTGCCTTATATGAGTATTTCACACTCCCACATTTCCGTGTTGTTTTAATTCAGGGCTGGTTTTATAGCCTGGGTCATTTTATTGTGTACTGTTCTTCCTACCGTTCACTGTTTGACATTTTATGAGTTTCCATTTATCTTTACAATGCCTTAGAGATCTCTGGCTACTGAGGCAGCTTAAAAGTGCAATAAATGAAGCTGGTTTTTTTCCAATTTGTAAGTTAACGAACTAATTAATTAAAAATACATTCCAGCCTCCTGTCCACACACAGTCCCATCAGGGCACTTTACATGGATATTACATCCTAAAAAAAATCAGTTTTGGTTTAGAGTATGTTGTTGTTGTTGTTGTTGTTGTTGTTGTTGTTGTTGTTGTTGTTGTTGTTGTGTACCTTCAAGTTATTTCCAGCTTATGATGACCTTAAAGCAGGTATGGGCAAATTTTGGCCCTCCTGGTGTTTTGGAGTGCAACTCCCACAATTCCTAATGAACTTCAACTCCCACAATTCCTAACAGTCTACTGACTGTTAGGAATTGTGAAAGTTGAAATCCAAAACACCTGGAGGGCCAAAGTTTGCCCATGCTTGCCCTAAAGCAATCCTATCATGGGGTTTTCTTTGCAATATATTTTCAGAGGAAGTGTGCCATTGCTCTCCTCTGAGGCTGAGAGAGTGTGACTCGCTCAAGGTGGCCAAGTAGGGATTTGAATCTTGATCTCTGAAAATCCAGCACCCAAACCACTATGAATACATCTACACTCTGGAATTAATGCAGTCTGACACCACTTTAACTGCCATGGTTCAATGCTATGGAACCCTGGAATTTGTCACTTCAAAAGGCCTACGCAGCAAACTACAACACCTAGAATCCCACAGTATTGAACCAGAACAATTACAATGGTGTCAAACTACAATGAAGATACAACCAGAGGCAGAACTTGATTGCATAAGCTTTCATAGACTTTGGGATTCTCTGTATTGACCCAAACCCTATACTTCCTGCAAATGCACCACTGGCTCTTCTCATAACTCTTTTTTTTTTTTTAGCTATATTCAAACTTTGCCTTACTTTCGACAAAGTGTGGGGATACTTTAGTATTTGCTGGAAACCCCCCAAAATATCCCAGAGCTTTGGGGCTGTCTGGACAGGGGGATCAGATCTGATTTAACTCAATCTGCTGTTTCCAGATGGAAACCACAACCAGCACCACAATCAAATATAACACATAACCTAATCTAAAAAATGTTCCTGAAGAACAGAAGAGTTATTTGGGCCACGGTAGCACAGAGGGTTAAACCGCTTGCTGCAGAAAAACTTGCTGATTGGAAAGTTGGTAGACCAAAACTGTGGATTGGGATGATCTCCCGGCTGTCAGCCCTAGCTCCCACCAACCTAAAGGTAAAGGTTTTCCCCTGACATTAAGTCCAGTCGTGTCTGATTCTGGGGGTTGGTGCTCATCTCCATTTCTAAGCTGAAGAGCCGCCGTTGTCCGTAGATACCTCCTAGGTCACGTAGCCAGCATGACTGTATGGAGCACCATTACCTTCCTGTCAGAGTGGTACCTATTCATCTATTCACATTTGCATGTTTTCGAACTGCTAGGTTAGCAGGAGCTGGGGCTAACAGCCTGCTCCCCAGATTCGAACCACCAACTTTTCAGTCAGCAAGTTCAGCAGCTCAGTGCTTAGGCCCACTCTAGCAGTTCGAAAACATGTAATTGTTGTGGCTGAGATGTTCTGTGATGATGAAGATGATGGGATTCCGATTCCTGGCTCTTTTTCTGTGCCTCAGATCTCTGGGCCTGTGGTTCCCACAGACAGTGCAGAGTCAGACAGTGCAGAGTCAACATCAACACTGCGGTTCTCAGGAGAAAAGAATTTTAATAAAGGAGATAGCGAACAAGTGGGGAGGCATTTGCCTCCTTCCCATGCTGATACTGAAAGTACTGAAAGCCTTGATAGTGACCTGACCCGGCAGGCTCGTCTTGATTTGTGGGTCAGGTGGAGTTCTCGCTTGGCCTGCAGACGAGAAGCCAGCTCGGTGAAAGGTCATCGCAATGATTTCATGTAATGATTTCATGTTAGAAAGGTATTTAGGTTTCTTGCAAACCAAGGGAAAGTGTCAGTTCAACGTAGCTTATTAGCCTGAAAGCTTCAAGGAATAACCTTAGCCTGGAAAGCAGTACGCTTGGGATTTCTTGCATTGTGATTCATGGGGCAATTGTTTCATTGCTTGTACCTGGGACTCTGGTTTGAACTTTGCCAATATGTCTCTTGCTTTTACCTGAAGATCTTTGGAACTATATTCTGCATTTAACCTTAATCTTTGGAACTTTGCAATGCTTATTCTTTATTTTGACTTGGATTTTTTTCCTCAATAAACTATAAAACTACAGCTCTTGTGTGGTGGTGTTTGGAAGCAAGGTGAAGCTTATTCTGAGTTGCAGCAGTAATGTGAGTAGATCAATGGGTACTGCCGCTGTAGGAAGGCAAAAGGCACCTGTGCAGCCATGCCAGCAAAACATGACTAGGAGGGTCTACAGACAACAGGCTCCTCGGCATGGAAAATGAAACAAGAGCACCTCCCCATGGCCAAAGTTGAGCATTACCTCCAGACGCTGGAGATGGAATGGGAAAGCTTTGTCTTTGTTTGGGTATTGTGTGTCATTGTTCATTGTATAAAAGGCACTGAATGTTAGCCTATATATGTGTTTACTGTAATCTACTCTGAGTCCCTTTGGGGAGATAGAGCGGAATATAAATAAAGTGAATTATTGTATTTTTATTATTATTGGGGTAAGTGCAATGCCAGGATGAGCGCCCTGTATCAGCACACTTGGGTTCGGAGAAGATGATGCAGGCTTGCAAAGAAGACCGCTTTTTGCCAAGTCAATTGATTTTAAAAGTCTCCTCCAGAGCATCCTAATTGCATTTCACGAGGTCTGCTTTGTGTCTCTCCCAACTCTGCTTTGCCAAAGAGGGGCATTTTAAAAGGGGTGAAAAAAAGGAGGCAATTGCTCTTCCAAGGGCTAATTATAGAAACGTATGGCTTCTGAGTGGAAGCACTGCCAGTTAATAGCACCTGCCATTAGCTGCTCTGGAAAAGGGAGAAAAAGGATCCAAAGCAAAGTTTTGAAAGCTTTTTACTATATCTATCTCTATATAAATGCTCTGTGCAAAATGAGTACCTTAAAAATGAAGTTATGGGGAGGGAGAATTACAGGACTGCTTTATATATGTATTCATTTATTTTGGTCAGAGACAAGCAGTAAGGAAAATAATCTGTTGTTGTTGTTCATTCGTTCAGTCATCTCCGACTCTTCGTGACCTCATGGACCAGCCCACGCCAGAGCTCCCTGTCGGCCGTCACCACCCCCAGCTCCTTCAAGGTCAGTCCAGTCACTTCAAGGATGCCATCCATCCATCTTGCCCTTGGTCGGCCCCTCTTCCTTTTTCCTTCCACTTTCCCCAGCATAATTGTCTTCTCTAGGCTTTCCTGTCTCCTCATGATGTGGCCAAAGTACTTCAACTTTGTCTCTAGTATCCTTCCCTCCAATGAGCAGTCGGGCTTTATTTCCTGGAGGATGGACTGGTTGGATCTTCTCGCAGTCCAAGGCACTCTCAGAACTTTCCTCCAACACCACAGCTCAAAAGCATCTCTCTTCCTCCGCTCAGCCTTCCCTAAGGTCCAGCTCTCACATCTAGGTGACTACAGGGAATACCATGGCTTTGACTAGGCGGATCTTTGTTGCCAGTCTGATGTCTCTACTCTTTACTATTTTATCGAGACTGGACATTGCTCTCCTCCCAAGAAGTAAGCGTCTTCTGATTTCCTGGCCACAGTCTGCATCTGCAGTCATCTTTGCACCTAGAAATACAAACCCTGTCACGGCCTCCACGTTTTCTCCCTCTATTTCCCAGTTGTCAATCATTCTTGTTGCCATAATCTTGGTTTTTTTGATGTTTACCTGCAACCTGGCTTTTGCGCTTTCTTTGGACACAAGACACCTACTAACCCAAGGAGTGACCATCACTCAAAAAAAATGATTTTGTCATTTGGGAGTTGTAGTTGCTGGGATTTGTAGTTTACTTACAATCAAAGTAAACTACAAATGATGGAATTGAACCAAAAGTGGCATACAGGACACCCATGATGAACCGAAAACACTAGAAGGGTTTGGTGGGCATTGACCTTGAGTTTGGGAGTTGTAGTTCACCTACATCCAGAGAGCACTGTGGACTCAAACAATGATGGATCTGGACCAAACTTGGTACGAATATTCCATATGCCCAAATATGAACACAGATGGAGTTTGGGGGAAATAGACCTTGACATTTGGGAGTTAGTAGTCACTGGGATTAACAGTTCACCTACAATCAAAGAGCATTCTGAACCCCACCAACATTCCTGGGAAGCCTGGGTGTTTTACCATCCTGTGGGAGGCTTCTTTTATGTCCCCGCATGAGAAGCTGGAGCTGACAGAAGGAAGCTCACCCCGCTCCCTGGATTCAAACCACTGACCTTTTGGTCAGCAGTCCTGCCGGCTCAAGGGTTTAATGCATTGCGCCATTGGAGGTTATTACCAAAAAAATTGTAATGTTTGCAATCCACGGATGGTACAACATTTTTTATTGATTAGCCAATTGGCCTTATCAAAAACAAACAGTGCAGACACAACATACAACATACATCTAGTCCTCTTCAAATAAAATACAAATATACAGGTAGCCATAGATATATGCATCAACTATCCTCATCTCCCCTACACTGCACCCCAATCTGATCTATGTACTCTGATCTCCTTTTAGGCCATGGATAGTAGAAACCATGAACATGGAAAACCAGCTGCATTTTTAAAAAGGAACAAACTTCTCATCAATCCATATTTGTAGCACTACCCACCATAGCACATCCAACGACAATTCAGGTATGTTTTTACCTAGGAGTATCTCCTACCTGCCAATTGCCATCATCATCTGAACATCTGTTATGCTGTCGTCGTTGGTGAGGTTTCTTAGGATCCCATCCATTAGTTCCATTGGGACATATTGAACCACACTGGCCAAGGCAATGGACGGTGGGTCCTGATCTTCTGCAAGATCATTTAGACACAAACAAAAGCAAAACAATATCAGAACCTGCAGGTGGGATCTTAAACGTTGTGACTTTACTCTTTTTGATTTAGTTGGAGAAATACCTTCCTCCACATTTCCATCTAACCATTAGGAAGAACTAGAGGCCGGAGTTATTCGACAGTGGAATTTGTGGATTAACAGAACTCAAAAACCACTGGACGAATTGACCCCAAATTTGGACACAAGACACTTAACAACCCAATGTATGTCCTTCACTCAAAACAAATTGATTTTGTCATTTGAGAGTTGTAGTTGCTGGGATTTATAGTTAACCTACAATCAAAGAGCATTCTGAACCCCACCAACGATGGAATTGAACCAAACTTGGCACACAGTTCTCCCATGACCAACAGAAAATACTGGAAGGGTTTGGTGGGCAGTGTCCTTTGGTTTTGGAGTTGTAGTTCACCTACATCCAGAGAGCACTGTGGACTCAAACAATGATGGATCTGGACCAAACTCTACACAAATACTCAATATGCCCAAATGTGAACACTGGTGGAGTTTGGGGAAAATAGACTTTGACATTTGGGAGTTGTAGTTGCTGGGATTTATAGTTCACCTACAATCAAAGAGCATTCTGAACCCCACCAACGATTGAATTGGGCCAAACCTCCCACACAGAACCCCCATGTGGGCCACAGCAACGCGTGGCAGGGGGCGGCTAGTAAAGACATAAAATAGTGTATAACTACTAAAATAATGAATAAATATTAAAATTAATATATCGTCCCTACTTCACAAATTTTCACTTTTCGCAGGTGGTCCTGGAACGTAACACCCGCGATAAGTGAGAGAACACTGTATTCTGTCTCCAAGTCCAGTGGAGTCTCCTTCTCTGGAGGTTTTTAAGCAGAGGTTGGATGGCCATCCGTCGGGAGGGCTTTGATTGTATTTGCCTGAATAGCAGGGAGTTGGCCCTTGTGGTTAGTTCTAATTCTATGAGTCTACAAATCTATGAAACATAAAGGATCCTGACCATTCTGAACACTTCGGTGGGAAAATGATGTTGGAGGTCAAGAGCAGCTGCCCTTGATGTGACATTGGTACTTTCCTCTCTCTGTGGAATGACTCTCATATCAAAACCCATAATTTTGGTCCCCAGACCTACCATCAACATATCCATGAGGTCAACCTCTATATAGGACATGCAGACAAGGCTTATCCCAATTATGAACAGCAGCAATGATATAGTTGCATTGCAGCCCTCCTTACCAGTTGATGAAATGATTGCAAAGAGTTCTTTCAAGGATGGAAGAATCGAGGACACCTGTGTCTTCCATATTTTCTGCAGCAAGAGGCCAACTTTGATGACGTGGTCCAGGAAGTCCACAATGGCCTCTTCTCTCCCCGACATGGTTCGGAATTGGCCGATGCAGCGGATGAGCTGCTGGCAGAACAGAGCCTGCCGTTTCCCTGTAGGAATACACTGAGGATACTGGATCAAGAGTTTGCTGATTTTCATGCACTGCTTGAGTCCCGGCCTCTCGCAGACCTTCCGGAGAACTTCGGTCCTCAGCAAGCTGAAAATGTCACTAGCGGACGGGCGATCCAAGACAAAGGCCAACCCAAGGTGGATGTAATCAAAGACATACAGGCTTCTTTTGCCAAGAGGTCCATAGCCCTCTTGGAGGAGGCTGAGCAGGAAACGGACATTGAAAAACTCTTCAAAGATCTCCTGGTGATAAAGGCCGTAGGCTTCCAGGACTTCTTTGCCAACCCACCTCTTGAACTTGGTATCGCCCACGAGGAACAGTTTGGTAGAAAGCTCGAGCATCAACCAACATTGTTCGCTGTCCATGGACTGTTTGGAGGCCTCAATGACACGTCGCACTAACCCTTGTTTCATGTGGTCGGGGTAAGACGACATCACGATGGCTTCAAGGATCTTGTCCATCTTGACCTTCTTCTAAGGGATGGGAAAAAAGAACAAAGTCAGTTCACTAGCCATTTTCCCTCCACCTTTCTAGGCTGAAAGTTTTCATCACACATTCAAAGACATAGCCATGCTAGTCAGGAATATCGGTATGCAAAGGGATCTTTGAGAAGAAAGTTGGTAATACAAGCTTTTGTAGACTTGCACAGTAGAATTAATGTACTTTGACACCATTTTTCCCTAACTCAATGCTATGGAATCCAATGAGATATAGCTCTATCAGGCACCAGCAGTCTTTGGCATAGAAAGAAAGAAATCATGTAAAGCTATAGCTCCTTTGATTCCACAGCACTCAGCCATGGATGTTCAAGTGATGTCACAAGCCCACCTCACAAGGATAGAAACAATTTTTGCAAAAATTTCTTTGCAGATCCACCCCCCATCCCCACCTCCACACACACAAATGCCCAAGAGAAAATCTGGGGTGCATTTCTACTACTTATTTATTTATTTGATTTATTTACAGTATTTATATTCCAGCACTGTGGCGCAGCTGGCTGGGAGTCAGCTGCATTAAGATCACTACTGACCAAACGGTTATGAGTTCGAAGCCAGCCCAGGTCGGAGTGAGCTTCCGACCAATTTGTGTAGCTTGCTGTCGACCTTTGCAGCCCAAAAGACAGTTGCATCTGTCAAGTAGGAAATTTAGGTACCTTATGCGGGGAGGCTAATTTAACTAAATTTATGACACCATAAAAATCTCCAGCAAGCATGCAAAGAATGAGGAAGTACTTCATCAGTGTCACAAATGGACGGTGAAGCGACAGCTCCCCTGGTGGCCAGAATACCCTCATGAAAAAGCTGGAATGTTAAATAGCCTCTGTGTGTCTGTCTATATATGTTGTGTGTCTATGGCATTGAATGTTTGCCATGTATATGTACATTGTAATCTGCCCTGAGTCCCCTGTGGGGTGAGAAGGGCAGAATATAAATACTGTAAATAAATAAATAAATGTGGGACTCCTGGACTAATTTGGGTTTGTAGTAATGTTGAACCCCAGACATGGTGAAAATGCCCCTCATGCCCCTTTACAGGCTTCTGAGGTCAGTGTTTTGGTATGACCAAGCATGGTCCTCCAAAGTCTCCAAAGGAGTTAGTTCTCCATCCCTGATTGACATCCAAAATCCAAGGCTGCATACCATGGGAGTTGTAGTCCTCCAAAGTAATTTTTCCAAGCCCTGCCCTTCCTAAAAGCAAAGTGCAACTTCTGCAAAGTATGAACTTTCTGATGTTTAGGTTTTGACATGTTTCCTGACAAGAGGAAGAGAGGTCGGCAGCATCACACAATTTGTTCTCTATCCTGCCAAACTGTACAAGAATGAAGGAAATATATTTAATAACAAAAAGGGGTGTTGTAAAGATTGATGGAATCCCACTAGGACAGGTCAGAATGCAACTCTCAGTTAGGCTGACACTTTGCACAAAAGATCAAATTATTATTTCATTGGTATGAACTGTGAAATGAGAGTTATGTGTCAGGCTGTAATCTAGCAATCTCCACAGTGTCCAAATGTCCCATTCTACTCTGATCTCATCCTTCCTATTCTTGCCCTAAGTGCTTCTGAAACCTGACATCCTAGACTCATA